TAAAACGCTAATTTTAGTTTAGTAAAACTTTATTTTTAAAGTTTATTATTTTAAAAGTGAAATGTTTGTTAATGAAATAGACATTTTGCCTAAATTCATTTATTGCTGCTTTCTTTTACAAGCCATTTGTTTATATGTATTTTTACATATCGTTTTTATTGAGTTTTTACTAATTTAATATGTACATCATTGACTTTTGATGAATGAGAAAAAGAAATTGAAAATAAACATATGAAAAATTAAAGTAACATTTTAAAGGAATTTATGTACAATTGAAAATTGTTTCTGTAACGTCTCATATTCCCCTTCTTGAAGCATTTATTCTCGGGTAATAAATGGTCGAAGTTGAGATATGTGAACGCGTCTTGCTTGCTTTTGGTCTTTCAGAGAGATATCGTAGGTTACATCAGATATCCTTTTTTGAATGACAAATGGTCCTTCATATTTTGGTGATGTCTTGATGAGACGAGGGTCGTTGAAGGCAATTTTTCTTATGACTAAGTCTCTTTCTTAAAGACATACTTGGGGTGATGGCTATCGTGTTTAATCTTCCACTTACTTCTACTTTGTTCTGTCCGCAGGCTAGCTTTCTTCCTGGCTTCTTCAATTGTAATTGGAGTTTGGTCGGCAAATTCGGGTACATTACCGATTCCATACATTAAGAAAAGCGGTGAAAAACCAGTCACGTCATGTGGTGTGGAATTATAATTTTTGACAACTTGCGGTAACAATGAGCTCCATTTACATCTAGGTTTCTCTAGAACAGCTATTCTCAGTTTTGTCATTATCGTATCATTTAATTTCTCACAAATGCCATTGCACTGAGGATGATAAGGCGAAGTATATGTGTGTTTAATTCCTTGTAAAGAAAGAAATTTGTTGAACTCTTTTGATATAAAATTTTTGCCATTATCTGTTAAGATAGTATTGATCGAATTAACAGATTTGATTATCTTATCAAGACATTGAGTGACAGCTTGAGCAGTGTTTGTTATTGTGGGATATGCCCATAGATAACGAGTTGCGTGATCAACAAAAACTTGAATGAATTTATGCTTTGTGTTAGCTGCTGCTGTTCCCAGTACAATAGTGTCACAACCGATCATTTGTAATGGTTGGATATTTGACGTTGGAGTGATCATCTCTCCTAAAGTTGGTTCATGTCTGACCTTCACTAGTTGACTAGATTTACAAGATCGAACATAATTATTGATATCAGTTGTTATTCCTTTCCACCAATAACATTGAGTTATAAGTTTGCATGTTTTGGTTATTGATGGGTGACTCAATGAATCGTGATATTCTTCCAATATTTTTTTTGTAAGCGAGTTTGGGACAACTGCTTTAAAAACTCCTTTTTGTTTGATCATTATCACACCGTCGTGAGTGTGGGAATTTTTCAAGAAACTCAAATCTGAATTTTGTTGGTGTTCTTGAAGTTCTTGAGTTGCAATGTTAACAACTGGGAGTCTTGATAAGGCGTCAACATGAGTTTGTTGCTTTCCAGAACGATGAACGATGTTACATGATTTCGAGGATAAACTAAGAATCCATCTAAAATACTTAGGTTTCGGTTTCTTCATGGTGAAAAGCCATTGGAGCGCCGCATGATCAGTGATGATTTCAAATGGTTGGTTTTCTATGTATACATGAAAGTGATCAGTTGCTTGTATTACGGCTAGGCATTCCATCTCATAAGCAGAATAATTCTCTTGGTGTGGTTGCAGTGTTTTGGAGTAATAAGCAATTACATGTTCCTCATTGTCTGGACCAATTTGTGTTAGGATTGCTCCAATTCCATATTTGGAGGCATCTGTATAAACTTTAGAGGGGTAGTCCGGGTTGTAAATAGCAAGGACAGGTTTTGCAGATAGTGCCATTTTAAGTTTAGCGAATGACTCCTCTACTTCCTCATTCCAGATGAAGGGCTGATTCTTCCGAGTGAGTCGAACCAAGGGGAATGAAATTTTAGAAATGTCCTTCACAAATTTTCTGTAATAATTTGCCAATCCCATGAACTGACGAACTTTCTTTACAGTATCAGGTCTTGGAAAGTCTTGAATAGATTTTACTTTTCCTGGATCAGGTTTTAATTGATTGTGACTGATGATATGTCCGAGGTATTTTACTTCAGTTCTTCCAAAAATACATTTCGACAATTTTAATTTCATGTTGTACTGTCTTAATTTGTCAAAAACTTTACTAAGAAGCTCTATGTGCTCTTGCCATGTTTTCGTGTACACCAATATGTCATCTTGGAAAGAGCAAGTTCCTTTCCATAATAATTCACCTAGAATATGTTGGATTATCCTTTGAAACGTTGAAGCAGCATTTTTTAAACCAAAGGGCATCACTAAAAACTCATAATGACCATCGTTTGTGACGAATGCAGTTTTTTGAATAGATTGCGGGTCCATTTCGATCTGCCAATAACCCCATGCAACATCAAGGGTAGAGAAGAAACTGGATCCATGCAATCGATCAAACATGTCCTGTATGTGAGGTAGGGGTTGCCTGTCATCCAGTGTGATCTCATTAAGACGTCTGTAATCAATGCACATCCTTTTATTTCCATCCTTCTTGGGAACCATAACAACAGGAAATGCCCAAGGAGAATCTGAAGTTCTTATTAACTTGTGTTCGAGAAGTTCTTTAACTTGTTCAGCTATCTCTTCATACTCTTTTAGAGGACGACGATAGGGTCTAAGAGAAATTGGTTGTTCACTTTTCGTGATGATCTTATGTTGTATAGCTACTTTTCCCAAATCAATAGCATGCTGAGAAAATACATTCCTATTGTGTTCAAGTAATTCTTTTAATTCATGTTCTCTTATCTCTTCTAGATGGTTTACAAGAATTGGATTTTGTAATCCATCAAATTTGGTGTAAATTGTTTTGTCTTTGATATCTATTAAAAGATTAAAAAGAGATGCAACATCTAATCCGATCAAGAGTGGATATTTAAAGTTCTTCATTACATGGAGAGTTACAGGTTTAATTAGTTTATCTATTCTTACCTTTGTCTGAAGGCTTCCACATGTCCTGGTAACACCCTCCGCTTGGCTGATGTGAATGTCTGAATTTGGTTGAAGTTGAAGACGGGTTCGCTTGAACAATCGCCAATTGATTATTGATACTGTTGCTCCAGTATCCACAAATGCTTGCGCAGGAATTCCATTTACTTCAAAACTTATGTTGATAAGCTTGAAAGCTCCTTGTGTAGGGGTATTTGTCAAAGTACTTACATTCAACAATTCCGGGGCTCCGCATACTTGTTTCACTGAAGTGTTTTGATTAGGCCTATCCTTTTTATAATTAGGATCATAATCCTCACAATCTGTGACCCAATGTTTAATTTTTATTCCCTTTTTCGAACATATTGGACACCAGAATGGGCAAACATTTTTTCTATTATCATTATTTTTTGTCGCGAGATGTATTTTGTTTTTAGGCTTAAACTGAATTGAAGCCCTATTTTGTTCAATTGAAGCTGCGATATGGAACCATTTCGTGGTGTCAGTTGGCTGTGCAGCCACAATTAAATCTTTCCAATCATTTGGAAGTCCGTCTGTTAATAAATGTATTTTTTCCTCCTTCGTTAGATGGGTTTGATTTAACAGGCGAATTTTATCTTGAAAATAATTTTCTATTGATTCTTCTCGTTTTAATCTTCGATGTGATGCTGAGAAAATTGGATTTGCGTTGTATGAACCAAATCTTTGAATCAACTTTTCCTTTACAACTTCCCATCTTTTTATTGCAGGATTTGAAATAATCTCGTCTGCATACCATTCAAGTGCTGAATCTGTCAAGTAGTACATGAGATTTTTGATTTTTTCATCTTCTTTTAAAGAATTATTTTCAAAATCATATAATTTGATCCATGACTCAGACCTAATTGCCGACTTCGAGCCGTTGAATTTTTGCAACCGGTTGTTTGGATTTTCCGCCATTTTTTTTCCGTATCCTTTTCGACTGCGCCAAATGCCACGATTTTATTTTTAAAACGCTAATTTTAGTTTAGTAAAACTTTATTTTTAAAGTTTATTATTTTAAAAGTGAAATGTTTGTTAATGAAATAGACATTTTGCCTAAACTCATTTATTGCTGCTTTCTTTTACAAGCCATTTGTTTATATGTATTTTTACATATCGTTTTTATTGAGTTTTTACTAATTTAGTATGTACATCATTGACTTTTGATGAATGAGAAAAAGAAATTGAAAATAAACATATGAAAAATTAAAGTAACATTTTAAAGGAATTTATGTACAATTGAAAATTGTTTCTGTAACGTCTCAATATATATACATCTTATACATTTGATTAGCTCGATGATTGGTTTTTATTACCATGTGACCTTAATCAACCAATCAGCGCTGAGTTTATTAGCCAACAAGAGTGCCTTTTTTTAAGGTTAGAGTCTTTATTGAGTAATGGAATTATGTGTTGAATATACGACGTGGGTTCTATAAATTCAATTTTTTAACATTGGAATCTTCTATATATGTCAAGAAAAAGACATCTCCTGATCCTAGTACAATATCACTTTTGTACTATTTTTGCACATCTTTAAATATTTGTTATTCTATCTGTACTTGATAGAAGCATTTCTTTTTCTGAAATTGTATATTTTTGAATCATATTTATCTTATGCTTATATTTTATAAGAGCTAAACTAATTGCTTGACTGACCTTAATCCTTAATCGATTGTTTATCGGGTATCAAAAAAGGAATTGATAGAAAATACTATAAAAGGTAGAATGGAATCAGAAGATATCATTGAATATTTATTTTCTAAATAATTAGATGTGTGTGAAAGATACACTAAAGCTTTATTAAAATATCTATTAAAATATAAGGTTGTCCCAAACCTTCGTAAACATATTATGATTATGATATATATATATTGCAAGTGTTTACGAACTTTTAGGACCACCTTGGTAAATTATTATTAAAATATACAAGTATCAGAGTCATCAACAATTCTGTCACCGTTTGCTTCTGGTATAGTGGTAGAATGCTTGTGTGCCTGCCACGCGGGCGCCCCGGGTTCGATTCCCGGCCGATGCATTTTTTTTTACAATTTTAAAAACTCATTTATATTATTAAAATATATGTGCTTTTTCCTGTCTATGTACAGATTTATGGTATATATAAACAAGTATACAAGTTATGTGCAAATGAAGATGGGTGGTAATATCAGCTGACCTAATGGACATGTAAAACGTGTTTTAACAGGACATAGAGAAATATCTGGAAAATATATTTTTCGGATTTTAAGTCAAGAAAAATAAATTGACAGGTTCTGGGAAAAAAGTAGTTGTTTTTTATTCAGAAAATGATGAAGACAATATTGCTGTATCATATTTGATTATCAGATACAAAATTATATCTTGAAAAATTCCAAAAAGCAGAGACCACGGGTGAAGTCAGTTAATTTCTAGTATGCAGGAACAAAATTCTAACATAAAAACATTCATTCGATCAGAAGACACAAAGCCAGATCATCTCTTTATAAAAATATCGCTTCTCAGACACAAAGTTTGGAGCGGGACGTTTCACAAGAATGACATCCACGGCGCCAATTTATAATTGTAACGAATAGTATTTGAATAAAATCATTTAATCGGGTAAAACCCGGGCGTTGCCCGGGTAATTAGGCTAGTAACATAATTATTATAGAAAAATATTTAATATTTGAAGTTCTATATCAAGGATGGCCAATCAGCAGGTGGGCCTAGTTTCAGAATTTCAAGGTTGTCCCAAGAGTTCGCCAAAACTTGCAAAATATAAATAAAAATTAAGTATAAAATGAATATTTTAGGTTGTCAACTATGAATAGAAAAGTAAAAATAGGCTTTAAATATTTTTCGTGTATATTATATATGAAAATATTATTCCAATGATATGATACTCAATTCCAATATATTTATATAACAATATGAAGTAGCATAAATATCTAATGAGTTTTTCCGTTTAAATTGGGAAATTGTATATTCATTACAAAGAGAAAGATATGTATATGATATATTTCCAATTATTAATCGAAAAAATAATTATATAAAGAATACACTATATGATACATATTATTGAAAGGAAATAAAAAGGTTTTTAACCATGTAGTGTTTCCAGAACATACCTGATGTTCAAAACTATCTTTTTTCTTGAATGTTTTAGGATGCGTACTATGACTCATTTTTATGGGTATATATATGATCATTAAAAATATACCAATTGGATTAAATGTAATTCCATTTACTAAAGTGCAGCATACACACGATGTTCCATGGAGGAAGCTAAACTCCCATATTTTCTAACAATATTTAAAGCCAAAATTGCTACTTTGTATTCACCCGGACGTTTTATGAACAATAATTTAGTTTTGTGGGTTTGGTAATTCATGGGAGTCGTTCAACATTATTGAATCCCTTGCCGCTGTGAATACATATTCTCCATTAGCTTTTGTCCCTACGGGCATCAAACTGCCTGCTGTCTCAGGATTTATGGAACGGAGTAGGGATATAAGGAGAAATCCATCAATAACATATTTGCTATTTATTGAGAGAAGTATCGTATTATCCTATGCTTTTAAAATGGATATTGAGGTTTCAAATTCTTACACTAAAATCCTTTAAATCCGTTTCCTGTATTCTACATCCTAATTTTGAGAATAATATATTATAATCCATTAGGTAAATCATATAGAAGAAAATTCTCTGAGAGAATTTTTTTTTTATATAACGGCAATAAAAGTTTTCGGGCGCAACGGCCCTTTGACAAATATACCTACAATACTGAAATATTTGAAATTGAAATCAAATCCATAGATATAGACATACGAGGAAATAGAAAATTAGATAGATATGTAAATATTGATTAACATAATAGAATCAAAAAAATACTATAGAGTATTAGTCAATTCTAATGCTCTATTGAGGCCATGTGTGATTATATGAAGTATAGAAATTGGGAAGAAGGATATTTACGTTATATAAAAAACATATTCCCTCTGCGATTTTTTTTAAATATGATACTAGACGGGCTTCGCCCGAGAATTCCCCCTAGTGTAATTTCCTTCATACTGAAAGCACATCAATAATATATAGTAGAAGTGTTATAGAATAGCAATACAGAAATAACACATAAACCACAGGCAAAAGGTGTGTGTGATGGCAAAAAATGTATTATATTAGTGTTTAGGGTTTTGATTTAATTATTTTTTAGTCGTTTCAAAACCAATATAGTTTAAATAGATGGCAGATTTTTCACCTAATCCCCGAGGTACCCGCCCCAACGATTTAACCTGTGAAATTATACTTCGCCTTGTATTTACTCCCCTTAAAAAAAGGTTCGTCAAAGAAAAAAATAAATAGCCAAAAATTCTAATCATAATTTTCCTCGGGTTTATAAAAAGCTATATGAAAAATTTGGTACCAATTGTTCCGGTAGTTTTTGAGTTTATCACGAAACAAACAACAGACATTGACTTTTATATATAAGAAAAATAATATTTTATATAAAATATTATTTTCAATATATATATTATAAATATATACTGATTTCAAGAATGCGCGAAAAATTTATTATATAATTAATGCAATGGATAGATGGTTCTCTTTGCACCAATCACCAAATACAATGTTCGAATCTATTATAAACGGGAATTAGAAAAAATAAAATTAATTTTATATTTTGATATTATAAATATTTTATATTGAATATAGAATTCAATTATGCCAAAATATATTGGTATCCATGTGTGAATTCATGTTAAATATATATGGCTACTATATATTATAGATACAATGTGATAATATTCTACTTAATAACGTATTATATGATTAAATATGTCTAATATTGTTCAATAAATTTGATATAGAGAACCGTACAGAAGTGAGGACAAAATCCAATTTGTATAAACGAATATACGTTTAGCTTTATCAATTAAGTATAAAATGAATATTTTAGGTTGTCAACTATGAATATAAAAGTAGAAATAGAATTTAAATATTTAGTGTGTATATTATATAAAAAAATATTATTCCAATGATATGATAAACAATTTGAATATATTTATATAACAATATGAAGTAGCATAAATATCTAATGAGCTTTTCAGTTTAAATTGGGAAAATGTATATTCATTACATAGAGAAAGATATGTATATGATATATTTTCAATTATTAATCGAAAAAAATAATTATATATAGAATACACCATATAATAATTATTATTGTAAGGAAATAAAGTTTTTAACCATTTTAATTAAGTCAAATTTTATAGCTCCTTTGTTAAAGCTATTTTTTAATGCAATTTTGTAGCCTGTTTTTATTTTTTAATTACAAATTTCTAAATCCCTCTAATAAGAGAGTTAATATATGTTTTTGCTCAGGTTAGACTAATTTAAAATATAATATACGATTTACTGTTTTTTCATAAAATGTTTAATATTTTTTCAAGCATCAATTCGAATACATTTGAGACTAAATGGGCTTTTGAAATTTGGACATAGTTTATCTACTTATATATTTGCCTTATTCTGTCTGTTTGTCTGTATGTCTGAAGCTCACGGATAGAATGCGCGCCCTTTGGCTGCCAGCGAACACGTGGCCTCCCTGCCCCCCTCTAGACAACCCTGTTATCAGCTGTGCGATACATACATCTGTCTATAGCAGCCACTCTAGACAACCCTGTTATCAGCAGTGTGCTACATCCACCTGTCTAAACAGACCACTCTGTCTATAGCGGCCACTCTAGACAACCCTGTTATCAGCTGTGTGACACATCCACCTGTCTATACAGACCACCCTGTCATAGCGGTCACTCTAGGCAACCCTGTTATCAGCTGTGTGATACATCCACCTGTCTATACAGACCACCCTGTATATGGCGGCCATTCTAGACAACCCTGTTATCTGCTGTGTGATACATACACCTGTCTATAGCGGCCACTCTAGACAACCCTGTTATCATCAGTGTGTTAAATTCACCTGTCTATACAGACCACCCTGACTATAGCGACCACTCTAGACAACCCTGTTATCAGCTGCCTGTCTATACAGACCACCCTGTCTATAGCGGTCACCCTAGGCAACCCTGTTATCATCAGTGTGTTACAATCACCTGTCTATACAGACCACCCTGTCTATAGCGGTCACCTTAGGCAACCCTGTTATCAGCAGTATGATACATCCACCTGTCTATACAGACCACCCTGTCTATAGCGACCACTCTAGACAACCCTGTTATCAGCTGTGCGATACATCCACCTGTCTATACAGACCACCCTGTCAATAGCGACCACCCAAGACAACGTTTTTAAAATATATTCGCACTCGGGTAAACCCCGGGCGTTGCCCGGGCCTTTCGTCTAGTTTCTCTATATTTGATTTTGTAACTATCTTACTCTATCTATATATAGAGAATTTATTTTCCAAAAGGTTACAAGTTTTTCTCAGAAAAGTGTAGCGAATGGTCAGTCTATTTACATATTTTTATTTACAACTTCAATAAATGACAACAGTAAAAGTAAACAAAGATATTTACATTTTCTATCATGACTCCTGGTCAGTGCTGTGGCCCTTGCCGTTATGGTCCCCTGATGTCCTGCAGCTCTCCAGCAGTTTTTCTATGGCCTCGATAAGATGGTCCCCTGGCCTTGATCCATTCTTGTCTGTCGGGTCTCCTGTCATCTGCTCTAGGTCGTTCTCCTGGATCTCTTCTATGTTCGTCGTATCCCTGTGCTCCATGCCCGGTGATATATAGAGAATAATAATAATGTGTAAATTATCAATATAAAACAAATACACGGCAGAAATATACTAATACTCGAATACAATAAATATATTCCCAAGAAAAAGGCTGGTAAATTTACATGCACCTCTGCCATCAGGTGTCCGAACCAATCTCTTCGCTTATTCATAAAAATATTTTTATGAATAGTATGTCCCATATACTTCTGTTAAGCTTTATAATAAATACCGTATTTAAAAAAAAATAGCTTTGAAAATGTAGAAATTATCATCATTTTGATATGGTGAATGTAATCATATAAATTATTTGCATATTC